ACCCACAATGATTGCGTCTCCGAATAACCATAGCAATCAAAGAACGTGCCCACAACGACCCAAATCAAGTTCATTATAATATTGCCGCTTCATTAAACAATTCACCAGCAAGAACAAGAAATGTACACAAGACAACAACAACAAGAGCAAGAAATGTCCAGAAAACAACAACAACAACAATTAGAGCAAGCTGTCTTAAAAGAGCAAGAAGAGAAGAAAAGAAAGCAAGAAGAATTATGAAACAAAAAGAACAAGAGTTAAAGCAACAACAAGAGCTCCAAAGAAAACAACAACAACAACAACAACAACAACAACAACAACAACAACAACAACAACAACAACAAAAATCAACAAACTACCCAAATTTTAACCAAATCCATTCACGTTATAATGCCGGTAGTCTCCCACAACAACAGCAATCAAGCCCACAACAAAATTCCCCAAGAACATGTTCAAATGATTATCCAACATTTAATAGAGAACAGTCACGTTTTAATGCTGCTGGTACTACATCAAACAAGACTCAACAACAATGCCCACAACAACCACAACAACCATACACACCATCAAGGGCACAATCTAATTACCCAGCATTCAATAGTTCTCATTCCCGTTTCAATACCACTAGTGAACCAACAGATATTCCATCAAGAAACCAACAAAAAAGTGCACATAAAGCATCAGAATATCCATCATATAACAAAGACCAATCTCGTTATACATGTGCAGGTTCATCAAATACCCCAAATTTCAATTCTGCTGAGGAAGAAAAATTAAAAAGAGAAAAAGCAGAAAAGGACCGTATTGAAAAGGAAAAGTTGGAAAATGAAAGATTAGAAAGAGAACGTGTTGAAAAAGAAAAAAAAGAACAAGAACGTATTGAAAGAGAGAGATTAGAAAAAGAAAATGCGGAAAAAGAAAGAAGAGAACAAGAACGTATCGAAAAAGAAAAATTAGAAAAGGAGAGTTTAGAAAATAACGAATGTTGTATTTGTTATATCAAATTAAATACCACCAATACCTCCACTATCGAAGTTTGTTCTCACACTTTTTGCAATGAATGCATCCGTAAATGGTGCAAATTAAATAATAATACTTGTCCATTATGCAGAAAATTTTTTTTTTTTATTCAAGTAAGTAATTCATATGATATTAATATTTATACATAATAAATAAAACTTATATTAATTTATTTCTTTATTTAATTGCAGAGAGAGGGTCAAGTCAAAGTATCAATATTTGATGTCAAATTAGAACCATTAGAACAAGCCAACGAATCCGTTAATGGTTCCAATGATAATAATTCCGATGATGATTCCGATTATGGTTCCAATGAATCAGATTCCCATTCTGATCACAATGATCAATCATATTCTAGATACAATTTTAATGAAGATGACTACCTTCCAGATGAATTTTTTACTAATAATAATAATTCATTTGATAATTCTGAAGAATCTGATGACTACATGGATCTCGATTAATCATGAAATCAATGGCGAGGAAGTTAATAATTAAATCGTTTCATTCTAATTTCAATTATTGAATTTGACGGCGATGAAACTATTAACTAAATCGTTATTCAATTTTTCATATTAAAATCGATTAAATTATAAATAGTTAACAACACCATACAAAAAGGAATTCAAGATACAATCAAATCATTATCAACGTTCAGTAGTAAATATGGCATCATGAAATTCAACCCTTCATAAAAGCTCAGAAAATGGACAAATATTTCAATACCATATAGAAAGCAATATATAAAGGTAACTATAATGATAACATTAATATACTTATATTTATATTTAAATATAAAAGAAACTAATATTCATTTTATTATTAATTTCGTTTAGTTCTATTCCGTTATTTTCAATATCAATACGTTTAATGTTAATAGTGTATAATCAAACAAAGGGGTTTGTTCCAACTAATAATCAACAATCATCAGGGGTATCCATCAAAAAAATCATAATAGCATTTTTTCTTTTTAGAGCTCACAGTTATTTAAATCATCACCACCACCGCAATAATATAATGAATCACCAACAATCACCAACAATCACCAACAATCACCAACAATCAAACTCATAATACCACATTTTTCCACCATTTCAAGAAATACCAATCAAAAGATCTCATTAGTATTTTCATATTATATATTATTTCACTATCAATTATAATATTTAAATTAACAAATAACAATCAGTAAAAAAGTATATTTAGTTCAATTTAATTATTATCAATTCAGATTTTATTTTTATATTTCATAAAGAGTTAGTTATATAAATAAATAAAGATTAAAAATTTATAACATATTTTTTACTTTTATTTTCTTTTTTTTAATTTTTATTATTTTTTTTTTAATCTGGTTTTTATCTTTTTATTTTAATATACTTCATTTAAATATTCATTTTTTTAAATTTAAATTATTTTTATCTTTTTTTTTTTTATTTTTTTTTTTAAAAAAAAATGAACATTATTAAAAATCATGAGGAATTCAAGAATATTAAACAATAATAGATTTACTTGTTTGTACCAACACTTTTTATAAAATTAATATAAATTATATAAAAAAAATTAAAAAAAAAAAAGACAAGAGACACTATTATTTTTCTATAGATTTACAAATTTATTTATCATTCTTTTTTAAATTTTTTTGTAGTTGTTGTGTTACTTGTCTTTGTTGTAGTAGTAGTTGATGTTGTATATGTTTTTGTTCAAGTTTTCTTTGGTGATCTAAAAGCTGTTCTTGTAATTGTTTTTTGTGTAACTCTACTTCTTCTTTGGGTAAAACATATGAGATAAGGCTCTTATAGCAACCTTGGACTAATCTATTTGTTTCTGTACTTGCACTTGATCTAGTTAATGGTGGTGTTGCAAAAGTCTTTTCAATCCTAAAGCCAGGTATTAAATCAGTTGCTAATTTTGATTTTGGAGTACTTGAGATGGGTGTTGATGGTGCAGTAGTGTTTGCAGATGATGGTGAGTTTGGTGATGAGTTTAATGTTAACATTGATGTTGTTGTATTTGGTACTGTAAAGTTAAATTCTAATTCATTACCAATATTATCTTTTTCTTTCTCTTTTTCTCTTTCTTTTTCTTTTTCTTTTTCTGTGTTGCTTTTATTTCTATAGTTGTTTAAATTGATATCGAATGTAATAACATTTTCTTCATCTTCGCTAATTTCTTCATTAATATCAATATCATCAATATTAATATTATGAATGATTGTTTGTATTTTTCTTTTCTTTGGTGATTTTTGTTGTTTTTCTGGTCTCTTTTTTTTATGTTCTGTATTATCTTTATCTATTTCCTCTTCATTAACTATTTTATATGTATTATTATTGTTTTTATTATTTTTATTATTTTTATCGATAAATGTTTCTTCGTCAGAATCTACAAAAGGATCTTCAACAATTTTTTCTTTTCTACTCTTGATTAGTTGTAAATGGTCTATAGAGTTGATTTGAAGTTTACTTGGGTCAGTATTTGTAAAGTTATCTTTGTCATCGATGGTGAATGAATAGAAGCTGCATTTATAAGCTGATTTCCATGAGAGTGAGCCTTCAGCCATTTCATACGATTCATATGGATATTTAAAGATACCCCATGGTTTTCTTATTTTATCTGATGGTTTAAAACGTGGGCATAAGGTTTTCATTGTTAATACCTTTGTGTCATTACTTGAGTGTTTTTTGAATAGTTCCATAATATAGAGTTCGAGGTCTGGAGGGAAACAGGTGTTGTGCATAAAGAAAACATTAACTTTGGAAAAATCAAAATCTAATTGACCTTTGATATCGCAATTGTAAAACTCTATGTTCTGAGTTGATTCGTGTAGACCAAGTTCTTTGGAGCACTGTCTGTAGGTGTTTAGCATTTTTTGAGAAATTTCAAAAAGATCTTTACGAATTTCAAAGCCAATCACTCTGCAACCAACCATTGAGGCCACTTGGAATAAAACATTACCAATACCACAACCAATATCACAAAAAACATCGCTTGGTTTAACTAGGCCTAATCGAATCCATTGTCTAATTAATTTGGGGTTAGCTTCACCATAAACTTCTTGACTGAAACTTGTATATTGTTTTAAAACCTTTGGATCTGGAATATTTGCCCTCATTTCGCTATAGATTTGAATATATTCAGTATATTTCAACCTTCTAATTCCATCAACTTGCTTTAATGATTTCATGAATTTGTATTGCTGTGATAGTGAATAGTTACATTCTTTTGATGCAAATAAGTCAACCATTTCAAATTCGTTGAATTTTTTCTTTTTAAGGTGAGATCTTTGATTTGTAATATTTTTTTTTTTTTTTGATGCTCTATAATTTTCCTCCTCTTCTTCATCATCCTCTTCTTTTTCTTCCTCATTGCTTTCTTCTTCATCATCCTCTTCATCTTCTTCGTTGCTAATATTGTCTTCATCTTCGCTATCAATTTCTTGATCTGTGGCTTCACTTTCATCGATAGCATCAACTGTTTTACCTGTACCCCTTAAAGCTGAAGCAGTTGTTAAATTACTAATTTCCCTGCAAACAGTACACTGCTCTATAACTTCTTTAGTATCCCTTACAATTGTGGCCCATTCACATCGATCATCTCTTAGACTTTCAAGAGTGGTTTGAAGGTTTTTATGGAACGATGGATTACGAAAATGAGACCCATGATGCTTTTTGACAATTGCTGTTATTGAGTGATTAAATGGTATTTGAATAGGTTCATCCAATGCCTCTGAATCTATATTGATAAAACAACCATCATCTTTATTAACATTGATTTGAAAATTACCCAATAAATCTGAAATCTTTTGAATTGCGCCAAGAAAAATTGAATTAATTGATTTAATAATAGCTGATTTATCAATTTTTGGTGGTTTTTGATATATTTCTAAAGATTGTTTACTATTAATATTTGTTTTGTATTTATTAATATCCATATTCATTTCATTTCCATATTGAATATTCATTTGATTTTCCATTTCTTCCATTTCCTCAACTCCTTTAACAACTTCAGTTTCTTTTCTACTTTCCATCTCTATATTTTTAATAATATTATTAATATTATAGCTATTGCTATTATTAAAAGAATTATTTTTATCATTATTATTTAAAGTTGTGGTGGTTTCACTATCAATCTCTAGTTCAGTTGGTTTTTTGGGAGAGTTATTATTTCTTTTTATACTATTATTTTGGGTTTTACTATCGCTATTAATTTCACTGTTTTCACTATCGCTTTTATCATTTATACTATTGATTTCATTTAAGATATTATTTGTATTGACAACTTTTTCTTTATTTATTTCAAAACTATTATTAATTGGGATAGTGGCGCTGTTATTTATATTATTCATATTTATACTAGTATTGGCTTTATTTTTATTTGGTTCATATAATTCAATTTCGTCATCTGATGGAATTAAAATACTTTCTGACTCGATTGATCTTATTGAAAATTCTTCTAAATTACTATTTTTTCTTTTTACTCCTGCTATTTCAATATCACTGCTATCGTCAGAAACTAAATCTACAAAAGTATTTTGTGAATTGCTATTATTAACATTGTCCTCATCATTATCATTGATATCAATAACTTCTTGGGTTATAGTTCTAGTAGATGGTGTATTTGAAATATTGGTTTTATTTGGTGAGACTTTGGTTGGTGAGGAGGTAGTTGTTGTGTTGGTGGTATAGAGTTTAGGTTTGCTTGATTTTGTAGTTTCTGTGTCATCACTTTGAGAGGGCTGAGTATTAAGCTCATCAAACTGTCTCTTTTTTGGTGTAATATTCTTATTAGGTGAATTGATTGCTATTGTTGTTGTTGTATAGGCAAAGATTTCTCCATCATTATCACTTTCATCCAAAACCAATTCTTCATATGAGTTTTTATCATCGCTGTTAAAAGACCCGATTTCGATGTTGTTTAAAATAGCATTTGATGAAAAAAGTAATGTTTCAAAATTTTTTTCCTCTGGTTCTTTTTGATCTGTTTTCTTTTTTCCTTTTTTCTTTGCTTTTTCTTTTTCTTTTTCCTTTTCTTTTTCTTTTTCTTTTTCTTTTTCTTTTTCCTTTTCTTCCTTTTCCTTCTCTTTTTCTTTATCTTTTTTTTTCTTTTCCTTTGGTTTTGTTGTACTTTTATCAACTTTAGATTTTTCGATTTTTTTAGTAGATTTCTTTTTATCATTATCACCATCTTTCTTATCCTTTGATTTTTTCTTGGTTCTTTTGAGAATTATATTATTATTATTATTGCTAATGTTGGTATTGGTGTTGGCAACAGGGCTGGTTGTAACGGCTGTGGTGGCTGTAGTGGTTGTAGTTGTGGTAGTTGTAGTTGTAGTGGTTTTGGGGCTATTGGTTATTGGTGAACTAGCGTGGTTAAAATCTAAATGGGTTGTAGTTTTTGGTGTTGATGTATTTGGAGAAGATGGGGTTTCGTTAGGTGTTGATTGTGATATAAGGGAGGTGTTAGATGAGGATGTGGTATTATTACGAGTGCCATCACTAAATTCACTAGGAATCTTTGGTATTACTTGGAAATAATCTGTAATAAGTGGAGCTGAGGTATTGCTTTGTGGACTATTTGACTGGATACTACCTTTGGTTTTTAATTTTTTTGGTGGAGGATTTGAATTGGGGTTTTTTGGTGATTCATTTGCTTTACTTTGTGCTTTCTTTTTTGGTGGTGAAACTACAGTATGACCTCCATTACTGTTACTATTATCATCTATATTATTATTATGACTACTATTACTATTATTATTCATAAATTTAAATATATCCTTTTTTTTTTAAAAAATTTAAAAAGAAAAATATAAATTTTATATTTTTAAATTAAAATATTAAAAATTTTGGTTTCTTTTATTTATTTTTTTTCTTTTATTTTCTTTTTTTCTATTTTATTAAAATAATAAATAATAAAGAAAAAGAGTAAGTTAGTATTAATTATTATTTCTAAAAAAAATTATTTAAAGTTTTAAATATATAAATTGTAACTTACATTAATATTTAATTTTTTTTCTTTATAAAAAAAAAAGAATAAACCTATTAACTCTATTTATTTGATTAAAAGAGATAATTAAAGCACTATATGTTGAGTTAAAAATGAAAAAATAAACTTGTAATGTGTTGTTATAAATGATAATCCAAAATTATAAAAAAAAAAATGGCTCCTAAAAAAAAAAAATTTAAAAAAAAAAAAAAAAATTATAATTTTAAAAAAATGTTTTAATTTTAATTTTTTTTAATTTTTATTTTATTTTATTTTAATAATTGAATAATAAAATAGAGGGAAACAAATAAGCAAAATTATTATAATATAATATGATTAACAATCATGTAAACATAATAATCAAAACATATGTACCTTCACCATATTTGGAAAAAAATTCAATTAAAAATCTTTTTTTTTTTAATCATTTTAATAATACCACCGTAAGGTTTCCCTCAGTTTGGTGGAGTGAAAATTAATTAAGCTATGATTAATCAAAATAACTATATTTATGTCATTTTATATTTAAATTTAAATTTATAAATAAAATAAACAATAAATATATATTTATATCTTTTTTCAAATAATATCAAAATTAATTCTTATAATAATAATTATTAAAAAAAACAAGAAATAAAAATAAAAAATAAATAAATTGAAATATCCTCCAAAAACACTCCACAAAATAGGTTTTTTTTTTTTTTTTTTTTTTTTTAATTTTTTTATTTTATTTTTATTTATTTTTATTTTATTTTTTTTTTTTTTTCATAATAAGATACATTTGTTTTTTTTTTTTCTCTTATTTTATTCAGAAAATAGTATTATAAATATTTATATTAAATATTATTTTTATATTATATATTATTTTTACTTTAAATTGTTATAAAAAATAACTTTGTAATCATACTTTTTATAAATATTTCAAGATGGCAAAATATAAATTAGGAAATTGGGCAGCAATGATTGGTATGGCTGCATGTTGGATTTTAATTGCAGGTGGTATCATGGGATTATGGTACCCAAGACAATATATTGCTATTTATTCAATGTAGGTTATATTTGTATTGTTTTTTTTACAAGAGTTTTTCATTTGCTAACCCTTTATTTAATAATACAGTTGTGTCGGAGGTGTTTTATATCCATTATTATACCCAATCAAATTTTTGGGCCCATTAAAAGCTATTTTTCATCAATACTATGTCGCTGCAGCATTAACAGGAGGGTAATTTATTTATTAGTTATTGTTAAGTATTAATATTTATATTAACTTTTAATTTTTATTTAAAATAGACTTAGTGTTTTATGTTATTTCTTATTACCAACTGTTATAGGAGGAATTGCATTGGATTTAAGTGCAATTGTATTTTTATGGGCAGCAATTAGAGGCGAAAAGGGTGATTACTTTGATAAAAATGATTAGTCAAATCAATCAAGCAAACAACGTGTATTTAAAAAATCTATTTATTTATTTATTAAAAAACCCAATAAAAAAACAAACTTATTTATTTTAGAAAAAAAAAAACTCAATTTTATATTTATTTAATTATTTTGAAAACTTTTGACCACTTCATCACTTGGTGAGGTTGTTATAATTTTTTTCCATGGACCTTCGGGAACATCTTTATCATCAACAAATTGCCACGAACATCTAATGTCATCATTATCAGAGCTAAAACCATCTGATGGTTCTGTAGTAATTGGAATAACAGATGATGAAGAGAATGGACTATAATCATCACCCTCCCCCCAATCCCCCCAATCTCCAGCACTATTTCCATTAAATGATAATCGTCTTTTTGGTTGTGTGGTGGGTAATGGTGTGGTGCTTACCAATGTTGTGGTTGGTGTGTTTGATGATATTGGTGTTGTATTTGATGGTGTTGATGTTGTATTTAAAGAATTGTTATTAATTGAATCTTGTGAGGATGAGGATGTTGACGAGGGTGCTAATACATCTGGGTCTATTGTAGAGTCACTGCCATTAGGATACTTTGGTTGGGAAGATGCTGTATTATACGATGTTGAAGGTGATGGTGAAGATGTTAAAGATTGTTCTTCGTATGGTATTGATATAGGTGAGGTGTCATAGGATGTCATTTTTCTTTTAATTGGTTTGAATTTTCTTCTAATTCCTAAAAACTCTGCAACTTCTGGTGATATTGCTAAGCCACCATATCCACTTTCTGGTACGCTGTGGCTTGCACCAAAGACATATGAATAGTCATCTTCAAACTCTGGACCCACATCTTCATATTGACAAAATACAAATGCATCTTTATGTATTACCTTGATCCAACGGTTTTTTAAAATTGATTTTTGCTCGGGGTCATCATAATGCGACCATGGTATTGAATATGCATTTGCTTTTCTTCCATAAATATCCAAGTCATTGTAGGGCAATGCACAATAAAATGTATTCTCTTTTGGTAACAATATACTCTTGATATGAGGACATTGATCTAAGGCTACTATACCAATCTTATCATTCCAATTTTTATCCCATGCTGTCCTGTTTACCCTATCATGAAATAAAAACTTATTATTTTCATCTACATAATGTAAAATCGTTTTAATATTATAATGGGTTGTATATGAATTAATTAAATTAATCTATAATATAAAACATTAGTATATATTATATTATTATTTGCACATTTTAATGTATACTTACATTTAGTAATAATAGGGCAAAATTTAAAAAAAATTGAAAAAAATTAAAATAATTCATAATAAAAAGTAAATATTAAATATTTTTATTATTATAAACATAGAAGTTATAAACTAAAAATATTTATTAAATATTTTATTTTATATAAAAATAATATGTGTCGTAGTTTATTAAATATGTGATATATATGTGGGGTTAAAATAAAAAATAAAAAATAAAAAATAAAAATAGAAAAAAAAAAAAAACACACAGAGGAGAAAAAAAAAGTTGGTTGTTTAATATAAAATAAAATAAAATAAAATAAAATATAAAATAAAATAAAAGAATAAATATAAATATAAATTTTTTGATAAAAAAAAAAATATAAATAAATAAATTTTTATTTGTAAAAATACAATTCTTTTTTTTTTTTTTTTTTTTTTTTTTTTTGATATAAAAAAAAAATATAAATTAATTATTATTATTATTACTTTCTGAATGGTCACTTTTAAATGATTTTTGTCTTTGTAAAGAGGGTATATTCGAGGTAGTTGAACCAGAAACAGTGCTTGAGTTGTCTTTAAATTCATGTGACTTAATTTCAAAAAAGTTTACTAAATGTTTGATACTTGGAGATTTAACCATAGCAGGTGGATGAAGATGAGAGAACGATGTTGGAATTGGTGCACGTGATAAAACTGGTTTTCTTCTTTCACTTGAAACAGAGTTAATTGAATTGACAGATCTTGGTTGGCTGTTAATGGTATTATTATTACTATTGATATGGAAATGTTTTCTTTGATAATTTGGTGAAATTGGTTTATTATTATTTATATTATTATTTGTAGTGGAGGTTTGATTATTTTCACCAGAGTTATCAGATTTATTTTCTTCAAATGATAGTTTACGTTGTTTATCGGCTTCTTTTTGTTTTACAGATAATTGATAATTTAATGTGGCTGCATCAGTTAATGATTGCTCTGAAATGGATCTATTAATAGAGCTATTATTATTATTTTCAATTTGTTGATCTTGATTATTACTAAGAGTGTCCTCTAACATCTCACTAACAACAATTGGTGGTGGAATGGCAGCTTTTTCATCAGTTTGTGGTGATGAAATAATAACAGGTGTTGAAATAGGAGTAATTTGATTGGAGTTAATTTCTTGTTGTAATTCTTGTTGGATTGGTTGTACTAATGGTGATACTGGCTCAACCTTATTATTGTTATTATTTGAAATGATTTGAGATTGTGAAAGATCAATATTATTCGATACATTGTTGGTGCTATTGTTCATACTATTGCTATCCATTGATTGTATATCATCGATTGTATTTGTTTCATTTTCTGATGAATCCTCGTATGAGCTATCTGAATTTTTATCAAACTCTAAATCTAATGATGGAACAAAGTCATCTGGTAAATTCAAATCGCTTGGAATTATATATGGCGAGGTGGCATTTGAACTATTATTATCGTGATACTCTTGTTGATCTTGTGATTGTTTCTTTTTAGATTTTTTACCTTTAACTTTATTACTAATATTTTTACTCTTCTTTTCGAATGCTTTTTTCATACTCTTATAAATTGAAGTGCCACTTGATTTTAATGATTTTTTACCATCATCGACATATAATGGTGATGGTGGGATTTGTTGAGAATCTTGTTGTTGGGAATTATTTTGTGGTTGGATTACTGGTGAAACATTTGAAATTGGTGTTATGGATGGTGATGATGTTGCAGAGTTTGACGATACTTCAATAATTAATTCACCAGATGCACTGGTAATGGTATTGTATTTTTGACTTTTTTCTCTAGTTGAGCCTGATCTTTTTAATTTTCTTGATAATCTATCAAGTGAGAATGATGAAGATGAACCATTTTCAGAGCCATCATCATTTTCAAAATTTCTAGGTGTATTTGGTGACGATCCAGCATTTTCACCACCATTGGATATTTCATCACCACCACCATTACTACTACCGATTGAACCCTTTCTTTCGTTTTCTAATCTGAGATCTGTAAATAATTTTCTAAAACTGAGTGATTTGGTATTAACTTTATATTGTTGTGAACTGATTGGTGGTGATCTTGGAATACCATCTGATCCTAATAATGGCGATTTATTTTCGCTGCTATTATTAATACCATTACTATTATTAAGATTATTTATATTTTGAGAAGATTCAGTTTCCCCTCCACTAGTTGCATTATTTTGTTGTTGTTGAGGGTAATCCATCGACCTACGGTTATTTCTAAATTTCTCACCAAAAAATTTATGAAATCTCTGGCTGGATGAACTTTGACCACTTACACCATGTGGTATACCTAAAATACTATCACTAAGACCACCAGCTCTGGCACTAACTTCTTTTTCTTGTCTATTCTCTTCGGTTTTACTCCACATTTCATCTAAAACATTACCTAAAGTTTGTTGGAAAGCACCAATTGATGGGGGATTGGTCCATTTTAATCTTGATAAAACGGCACGAGTTTTATGTAAAACTGTAATATAATCTTCAACGCAACGACTTTCTCTTTCCCAAATTTCATCGAAAAGCTCAAAGGAAATACAAAATAACTCTTCAAACCAGTCATCTTGATCGAAAATAATTTCATAGAGATTTTCGTCTTCAATATAAAGTTCGTAGATTAAATTTGTTAAAGTGAAACCAACTCTTGAAAATGAATAAAAAGACTCTGGACCCCCATTTTTACTATCGATTTTATCAATTTGTGATTGTAAAATTTCTCTATAGATCCTTGAATAACGTGCACAAAAATATATCATATTTCTTACACCTAAAATTCCAGTGTTTTGTAATTCGTTTTGTAAATCGTTGGATTCGAATCCTAAAAGTTTCATTTTTTCTTCGAATGGTATTAATTGATTCTTTTCATCTTCAGGTGGAAATGACATTTTACATAATCTACTAATGAATGATAATACATTATGGGTATCTTGTAATACTGATGTTTGTTTTGCAACTTTAATACCATTTATTTTATGTTTTTGATAATGTAATAATTCTAATCTAACACTTGGATTTACACTTTTAACATAGGTCTTTTTTAAAAAAATAAAAAAATTTTAAAATAAATATTTGTGTGTATCTATATGCAATAAAATAAAAATGATACCTACTTTAATGACATCATTAACACCTTGTGAACTTAAAACTTGTCTATACTTTTCAAAATCGAAATAGGATGGTGCACAACTTAACATATGATTAATAAATGATAAACATCCAGCTACTAATAGATCATGATCTGGTTGATCTGATTTTTCAAGAATATGAATATAAAAATTCTTTTTAAATTGGTGTGAAACTGAATTAATTGCTTGATCTAAAATATTAAACATTAATGATGGCTTTTTTAATGATGGTGATGAGGATGATGATGATGAAGATGATGATGATGAAGATGATGAAGTTGTTGATCCTGATGCTGCAGATGATAATGACGATGTTGAAGTTTTTGTTGATGCTGGATAGGGTGATGGTTGGAATGGGATTTCTACAGATGGATTAATGGGCGAAAATGTATTGGTTGTTAACATTTGAGTCAAAAGATTAAATAATGATGGCTGTCTGTTACAATATACAAATGATATAACTGTTTGTGTTGAAAGTGTTAATAACTCGGTATTTTGATTAATAGTTTCACCATCAGCCATGCCATTATATGTTGGTGATACAGTCAATGGTGTTAAATCTTCTGTTTCTTTTGACATTTTTTTTTACACATATAAATACAAAAACAATAATATAACAATTAAAAATGAACAAGTATTATTATTTTCTTTTTTTTATAAAAACTATATATGTGTGTGATTTATATAAAAAAAAAAAAAAATAATAAAAAATAATATACAGCAATAACACAATAATAAAATTATAAAATTTTATTTATTTTGATTATTGATAATTAATAAATATATATATATTATATCCAAAAGAAAAAAACAGAGAAAAGATAAGCGAAAAAGTATCCAAATTTAAAATAAAATAAAAAAAAATTTTAAAAAAAAAAAAAAAAAAAAAAAAAAAAAAAAGAAAAAAATTGTCCAAAAATAACGGCTTTTTATAACATTTGTGGTGTGGGTGTGTTTGATGATTCTTGGTGGCAAAAACACAATATTTGTGTTAAAAATACATCATGAAATAATGCTTCTATTTTATTCAGTATGAGAACATAAATAAAATAATAATTTAATTAAATCATATTATTATAATTTAAAGATATGATTTATTTTTATCACCACACAATTATTTTATTTCTCAAGTTTAAAATATTAATAATAATAATAAAATAATAATAAAAATAATAATAATGATAATAATAACGTGTTTATTTCAATTTTAAAAAAATTAAATATATATGTTATTCAAATAACCAAAATAATAACTTTCTTTTTTTTTTTTTTTTTTCAAAAATAAAAAAAAGTTTTTTTTCAATTTTTTTTTTATTTTTTTTTTATTAAATACCCATCTTTTTTTATTTTATTTTCTTTCTTTTTTTATATATCTAAAATCACCTACATAGATTTATTATAGTATACAAATTATCATGTCAAACGATACCCAACAAGATAACAACAACTCTTCAGAAGTTAATAATAATGTCGAAAATAATGTTCAAGAAAATACAGAAGAAGAAACACCAAAAGTATATGAGATAACCGCTACTGATCACATAAATAAAAATATGTTGGGTAAGATAAAAAAAAGGAGATATTTACTATACATTTTTGACACATTCAAATTGAATCGATTCTAATTACTTTTTCTTTTTTTATAAATTTAAATTTAAAATTTTAAATTTTAAATTTTATATAAAATATTATCTCTTACACAAAATAAAATTTAATCAAAATCATAATCATAATCCATAATCATAATCATCAAAATAATCAAAATAATAAATCATATGATAATCAAATTTCAAATAATAATCGTCATTTCATTTAAATTTTATTAGAAATGTTCAAACAAAGACTTGAATCTGGTCAATTCCAATTTACAAATCAAAATGATAACGATGATAGCGATGATGAATTTAAGGATTAATATACGATACAAAAATAAATAAAAAAAAAAAAATAAAAAAAAAATAATAATCAAAAAAAAAAAAAAAAATAGTATAATATAATAGAATTAAAAAAACAATTTTAAATATAGTCGATATAAAATGTAGTTTTATGGAAAAAAAAAAGTAAAGAAACTATTAAACTCAAGGAATATTATATTATTTTTTTTTTTTTTAAATGTACAACAAATAAAAAACCATTCTTATTTATTTAAAAAAATAATAAATTTATTTAGTTATAGTTATAAATAACTATTTTTATTTTTTATTTAAAAAAAAAAAAAAAAATTCTTAAAGTGGGGGTTAATCACATACAAAATCAATCTAATTTTGGTGTCTTTTTAGTGGTTGTACATTAAATTTAAATTTTATGTGTACGTGTATGTGTGGGTGTGGGTGCAGTGTGGAAAAATAATATATTAATATTTTTTATATTTTTTAAATTTTTTTTTTATGTGATAATTTTCTTTTTTTATTTTTATTTTTTTTTTGTTCAATTTAATTATATGACAAAAATAATATATTAAAAATATAATAGTAGTAATAATATTAAAATAATTTTAATATTAATATATTATTATTATTATTTAAAAATTTAAAGATAAAGTTTTTTCAATTTGATTATACAACTAAAATATAATAAAAAATAATAAAAGAAAGGAAAGAAATAAAGAAAGAAAGAAAAATATAAAATAATAATACGCACTCACTCTATAAACAAATATAAATAAAAACAAACAATCCCAATAAAAAATGAATATAAAAATAAAAAATCTTGTATCATTATTTTTTGTATTACTATTAATAAATATAATTGTAATTGATCATTTTATGCAATAAATTATTTTTTATTTTATATTTTGTAATTCTAACCCAGTTTATTTATTAAAATTTTATAATAATATAGAAAGGGGAAGGCTCAGCAAGTAGCGACTATGAGACAAATGATGATAGCAGTCACAGTGGCAGTACTTGGTCAGATGGTAATGGTGATTTAAATAGTGTAGAATTTTGCCCACCTTCTAGACGACTTTGCGATACTGGATCTTACAGAGATACAAATGAAAGAGTACATTTAGTTAGATATTGTGTAGAAAAAGACGAGGTATGTTGTGGATGCAATTCAGTTTTTACCCCACATTATAATGTAACTTCCGGAAATGTAACATATGTCAAAGTAGGTGAGTGTTTTGGATGTTCAAAAAATTCAAGATGCAGCTTTGATGTATTCAAAGATGGTTTACAACGTTATTGTACATCATCAGGAAATGTAAGCGGTCCATTGGGTTTAGTTATACTATTATTATCTTTGGTCGCAATTATAATTTAATAAATATAATGGTTAATGTTATTAATTTAAAATAAATAAAAATATGTATAATTTTATTATAAAAAAAAAAAAAAAATATAAATCATTTTTTTTATAATTAGATACTGTAATATTAAAGTATACATAAAAAGATTTTATATAATTGAATTTTTATTTCATAAACTTTATTATAATACTGGATAGTAGCCATAATTTGCTATTTAATAAAATTTAAATTAGTAATAGTTTTTTCTCATTAAATATCTCATTTTAAAAATAACTTACAAACGTGACAAATAAATCTTGATAATCTCATATTTCCTTTTTCTCCCCAACCAGATCCCTTTAATTTAAAAATAAATTTTAATATTGATTTTAAAAAATATATAAGCAAAAGAACTTACCCAACTTATTTATAATAATGGTTAATAGAAAGATATAAGTAAAAAAATTAGTATTATATTGTTTATTTTTTTTGAATGATTAATAGTTTTGGTAACTTACGAATTTCTAATAGTATAATAATCAATACCATCGATTGTTCCGTATCCTGATATAATATTCTAAGGTTTTAGTAATTTAGTAAAATTTAAATTATAAGTATAAATACTCACCAATAAGAGTAACTGCGTGGTCAATATTTCCTTTACCACATGCAGCATCGTTATATAATCCACTTTGATAAAGTTGGAAAGATCTTACACCTGCTTGTAAAGCAACTGCTATGGGGCCTACTCTTGTAAGGGCATCAGTCATAGATCTTTCATTATTTATATTTACATATGAATTTATACCACCATTTTTTGAAGTTGGTCTACATGTACCTTCAGAATTAGTATATGGATATCCTGTTTCTAAACTTACTCCTTTATTTGCTCTGATATAATCATAAACACCTGTAAACCTATTTACTTAATATAATTAGTATGGTTGAGACTTTGAATAAGATTTATTTTGTATACTTACCAACCACCTGAACAACCATTGTTACCTTGGTTTCTTGTACAATCAACAATTTCTTGTTCACTTAATCGAGCCTGAATTCCTTTTTTAGATAAAGCACCTTCTAGTGCTGTTATACTTGCAAAAGCGTAACAAGATCTTTAAAAGGAATTAAAATAGGTATATAAGATTTAAAAATAGTATCTATTATTTGTACTTACCCACAACTTCCTTGGTTTTTAACAGGTGGAAGAGATGAGGACCAATCAGCACTAGCTGTTGACATTAATAATCCTGATTTATTGGAGGGTTGGGTTTTATTTGAATGGGATTCACATCTTGTTTCTACTTGTTCCAAATCTGTTATGTTATTTGCTTTTTTGATATAGGAAAATGAAATAGAATCATTTACTGCAATAGTTGGTCTCCAATGTGGTAGTCCATACTTATTTGAACCTATAGTAGAAACTTCCCAAATGCTAGTTACCTCTAAATAAAATGTAAAACTATTTATTGTTGACGACCCTAAATTATGAATAGTAGCTTTAACATTGATGTATTTTTCATTTTGAGTGATCCATGAGGTAATGATCTCTTGTTGAACTTGAATATTGCATATGTTGGGATATGGTGATGGGGTTTCAGTTGGGATGGGTGTTTGTGTTTGGTTCATCATTTCTTCGATTTCTGTTGTGTTTAATTGAATTAAATAGGTTTGGGCAAACTCCTCTGGTGAAATATCTGCAAATTCATTTAAACCTATTTTATAAGTAGAGTCGTTTTTTTTGCTGTGTTGTTCAATATATCTATAACTATCTTTAAAGATTTCATATGACTTGTAAAAATTATTAGCTGTATAGGTTTTATTATAATCATTTGACCATTTAATAAACTCTTTTTGATAATTGAATTCTCTTTTTCTGCATTCTTTACCATAGTACTCCAATAAACATCCACACACATCACGATGATGATGATAATGATGTCCTTTATTTTTACTAATATCTTCATTGTCTGAATTATCATCTATTGCTTCGATTTCTAATTTATCTTCATAATATTTACATCTATTGCATTTTTCATCTTCAATATCATCAAGTTCTACATAGTTGTCATCTGTGTGTTTATTTATTTGTACTTTAACTTTTACAATAACCTCTATATCATCCTCTTCATTTTCTTCTCTATAATTAAACCTACTATGTGAAATAGTAATAGATAATGTTATAATTAAAAAAATAAAAAATACTGTTTTAATTTTCATTCTATATCAAAAAACAATTATGTTTGATTATATTTTATATATAAATTTAGTGTAGTGAGAAAAAAAAAATAAAATAAAACAAACCATTTTATTAATTTATTTTATCTTCAAACCGTAAGATTCTCTTTAATCACATTTATTATCACAAAGAAATTAAACTGCAAATTATAATCTTCAAGGAGCCAAAAAAAATAAAAAAAAATAAAAAATAAAAAAATTAAAAAAATTAAAAAATCACATTGCGTGATTAAAAAATAAAAACATTCGATTTGATTAGTTTAGGGATAATATCTTTTATTTCTACTAAAAATGTTTAATTTTTTAAAGTTATAGTATTTAAATAAAAATATTAAAAAATTATAAAATGATTATAGTTTATTTTGGTGGATACCCTGATGATTGGTGGTGGTAAAGTGTGGTTATACTGCTGGATTATGGCTTTGGTTGTGACATGAAAGTACTGCGGTGGAGTTAATGGGTTAAATAGCTGACATATTTTAAAGAAAAGTGTGATTATGATTTATGTTGATGGATACCCTGGTGATTGTGGTTCACTTTGTATTGTATTGATTTGAACAATATCCCCAATATTTGATTAGACACTTTAAACAATAAACGTATTGATATTGAAAATAAAGAATTTGAAACTAAATAAATAATAAAAATATTAGTTTCTTTGATATTCAATTATAATTATAATTATTTTAATGTTATAATTATATTTACCTTAAAATTTTGCTTTCTTATTGATTTTGGAACATTTCGTTAGTTTTTACTTGTCATTTTCTGAGCTTTTTTCCGAGGGTTGAATTGAATGATGCAATATTTACTACTAATAGTTGATTATGATGTGATTTTTTGTTGAATTCCTTTTTGGATGATGATGTTAACTATTTTTATTTCATCGATTTTAATATTAAACATGGAATGAAACGATTTAATTAATAATTTCATCGAATTCATTAATAGAAATATTGAATGAACCGATTTAATTATTAATTTCATCGCCTTCGATTTAATGATTAATCGAGATCCATACGGTCAACAGATTCTTCAGATTCTGAAATATCAAATAAATTGTTATTATTTATAAAATATTCATCTGGAAGATAGTCATCAGGATCAAAATTATTTTGGTAATCATCGTGGTATACGAATTCAGAATTGGAGTTATCATTATGACCAGATTGGGAATTGGAATCTGATCCATAATCGTTTTCTTCATCGGAATCATCATCAGGTTCTAATAAAACATCATTGATTGATCTTTCGGCTTGACCCTCTCTCTGCAATTAAATAAAGAAAATAAATTAATATATTTTTTATTATTATATAAATATGAATGAATGAGTTACTTTAATACGATAAAATTCTGCTCTACATAATGGACAAGTATTATCTTCTTTGCACCATTTATGGATGCATTTGTAGCAAAATTGATGAGAACAATCGATAGTGGAGGCATTGGTGGTATTTAATTTATTATAGCAAATACTGCACTCGTTATTATTTTCTTTTTCTAAACGCTCCTTTTCTAATCTTTGTTCTTCTAATTTTTCTCTTTCAATACGTTCTTGTTCAAAACGTTCTTTTTCAATTCTTTCTTTTTCAGCACGTTCTTTTTCTAATATTTCTTTTTGAATACGTGCTCTTTCTATTATTTCTTTTTGAATACGTTCTTGTTCTAATCTTTCATTTTCAACACGTTCTTGCTCTAATCTTTCTTTTTCCAACTTTTCCTTTTCAATACGTTCCTTTTCTGCTTTATCTCTTTTTAATTTTTCTTCATTAGCAGAATTGAAAATTGGGGTATTTGATGGTGTTGATGAACCTGTACACTTATAACGAGATTGGTCCTTATTAAATGATGGGTAATCTGATTGTAGATGTGCACTTTGTTTGTTGGTAGTTGGAATGCTTGTTGGGTTCACCTGCGGTATTGAAACGAGAATGAGCACTATTAAATACTGGGTATTTGATTGTGCCCTTGATGGTGTAAAAGGTTGTTGTGGGCATTGTTTTTGTATATTGGCTGATGGAGAATTACCAGTAGCATTATAACGTGATTGCTCTCTATTAAATGTTGGGTAACTATTAGAACTTGCTCTTGTGGAATTTTGTTGTGGTTGTGTGTGTGATTGAATGGTTGTTGGGAAACTATCAGCAGTATAACGTGAGTGATTTTGATTAAAAGTTGGGTATGTTGTTGATTGCATTGGTTGTTGTTGTTGTTGTTGTTGTTGTTTCTCGTATTCCTGCATTCTTTGAAATAGTGATCTAATATTGGGGATTGATGCAGTGTGTTTTGGTTGTGGTGGTTGTTGAGGTTGAAATTGTGTTCTTGGGAGTGTTTGTTGTCTGGACTCTTGTTCCCTTTGTAACTGTTCTTGCTTTCTTTTTTTCTCCTGTTGTTCTTGTAAGAAACCTTGCTCCTGTTGTTGTCTTCTAAACATTTCTTCTTGCTCTTGATGTTGTTTTCTTCTTAAAATTTCTTCATTTTGTACATTTTGATGTTGATTGTACAATGGAGCAGAAATGTTATAATAAATTGGAGTTGAGTTTTGTGGAAGGGTACCGTGATTGCCATTGCTATTGGCGCTGGAGTTTGTGTTTGTGTTGTTGCTATTATTTAAAAATTTAAAAATAAAATAAAGTGATAAACCAATGATACAAAAACAAAAAATAAATAATAAATAATTCATTGTTGATTTTAATGAAATGTGATTGAGTGATGGAAAGGGAGATTTGGATTATTTATAAATTATTAAATAAAAAAAAAAAATTATTGCGGTTATTAAAATATATAATTGTATTGGTATTATAATAAATTAAAAATAAAGCTATATAATTATTTGTATGTTAATAAAATAATAAAGAAAAAAAACATTTCTTTCAAACTATGAAAAAATTTAAAAAAAAAAAACAAAAAATTAAAATTAAAAAAACATAAAATTAAAATTTAAATTAAAAAATATAAAAATGATTATAAAAAATTAGTGGGAAAACTCCCACACAATAAATATATATTTTATTTTTTTAAATCAAAAATTTTGACCATCTTGAAATTTTAAATCTGTAACTGTTGCTGGAATTAAATCAGGTGTTAATTGATACTTGATGTTATTTAAATACAAACATTTTTTTTTTAAAAAGTACCTGTTTCTTGTTATTTGTTACTTACATCTGTACCTGTTTGTTGTACCTTACCTTACCTTAATTGTAAAAATAATAATGTTATATTTTATTTTAATTTATATTTAAAAAATCCAAATTGTAAATTTTTATACTATATTATTTTTTGATGTCGAAGTTAAAAAGTTCTTTTATTCTATTTGAGGTAAATAATTGCTGTTACTATTTCTTCTATTTATTTTTCTATTAATCCAAATTCTATAATTGTTATTTGAAATAAAAATATACTTTTTGTTACTGCTAAAAAATATTTCATCATCATTTGAGAATCCAACCGTATTTCCATAATCAATTTTTTATTTACTGGTATATTATATTATTTATTTTATTTTATATAAAATATCACACTGAATTTCTACATTTTCCAAGATAATTGATATATTTTTAATGTTACATAATAATACTATTTATTCTATTTTTTAATCCAAAATACTTACCTTATAATCATTATACAATAAATCTGATCTCTTGAATATTCCAATCTACTCGAATATTTCTGAAAGTGATAAATGAAAATAAATTTTATAAAATTATTTTCTTTAATTACTTTGAGTTTTTTAATAATTTTTAATATCAAAATAAAAAAAATAAAAAATTAAATTCGAATTTAAATAAATAATCTATAACTATTTCCTAAAGTATATAAAAGATCAAATTCAAATTAGGTTTACCTTTCATTGTACAAAAAAAAATGTAATAACAATTGGTAATCATCTAATAACTTTTTAAAAACACCCAACAAAAAAATTTTAAAAAAATTTTAAAAAAAAAAATTGATTTATTTTTGGTCCCCAATTTGTGAAAATATTTAAATATTTTAAATTTTTTATCCACATCATAATTCAAATATATACTTATATATTTAAAAATATACATAATAAAATACAATTTATTAAATTTATATAATTATTCTAAAAAACAGTTATATAATTATATTTACTTGATGGCTTTGATCAGCCACTTAATTTTATACCACCCACCGTAAAGATACCATCACCAACAAGAACTTTAAAAAAAAAAAAAAGGTTAAGATACAAGCACCAATAAGAAAAAGGTACTTTAAAAAAAAAAAAAGGTGAAGATACCAGAAACAACGAGAGACAGGTAATAATATTTGTATCAAATATTATGTAACATTCAAGCATGTTTTCATTCAACTATCTTTTTTTTTTATTGAATGATTTTAAGGTAAGTATTATGGATCATTAAAAAATAACAAGTAATATGGATCATACAAATATCAAGTATTATTTAGAATAAAAAATATCAAATATATTAATATGTAAATATATAAATAATAGAAGAATTATATAAAATAAGTTTTAACTTTTTTTTTAGGTAACTTTTATTTTTTTTTAGATACATTTGGCCATTTTATATAAAGAGTGTTTCCAGCAAAGGGAGGTTGGCTTTTTAGAACAAAAAATTTATTCTTGATTGGTGGTCTCTCCAAGGATCTTTTAAGTTCATGTTCAGCACATTTAGCATAAGGTTTTTTGCCACTACACCAGTTTTCTACCTATAAAAATAAGGAAAAATAAAATTTGTATATTGTGATGTATGTTATATATGCATGTATCAATAAAAAAAAAATTGAACCATTAAATCGTTAAATTTGAAAAAATAAAAAAAATAAAAAAAACTAAAATTATATTGTCACAAGAGATTAAAATATTTTTTTATTTATTTTTTTCAAGGGGGATAAAATATTTTATATGTAAAAAATAAATTTTTTTTTTTTTTAATTTAATTTTTTTTTTTTTATCAAAAAGTCGAGATAAATTCATGACAGACAACCCTTGGAAAATTTAGGATCATCCTAGTTTTAAACCTCCATCCTGAGCTATAATTAATTTTTATCTTTTTTTTTATTACTTTTCTTATTTTTTTTATTTTTATTATAATAATATAATGTTTTAACCCTTAAAGTGTCGTAGTTTTTAAAATTAAAAACCTTGGGGTGGCCCAACTTTTTTATATGTAAATTTTTGAAAAAAAAATAAACTGTTTATTTTTTTTATTTTTTTTTTTAATTATCGAATTTAAATTTGTAATAGGGATTGTGATAAATAGTATTCAAAAATAATGAAGATGGAAGCCATGGCAACGACATGTGGTTTCAATTGGATTGTTTTTAGCAGAATATAAATTTCCTGAAAGTTGTGGGTTGAAACAACACAACAAACATTTTTTTCTTCTATCGATAATTAATAGATACATAATAAACTCTTTGATAAGTTCTTGCTCTTTGATCATTTCTTTGTGGATTTATAACCATCTTTGAGGAATCAACGTAGTTGTGACAATTATTATACAACCATATTACTATTGGTGTTGATTGATAAACTGCTGGAAAACATCACCAGTTCTATTGGAAGCAACTGATATAATAAAAAAATACATTACTGTTGTTGTTGGTATTATTGTTATTTGTATTCATTTTTGCGAAATATGTAAATCCTATAATTAAATAGATATATAATAATAATTAAATAGATATATAATAAAAAAATCAGTTAACAAAATTTTAAAAATTTTTTTTTTTTTTTTTAAAAATTTTTTAATTTTTTTTTTGGGTCCACCCAATTTATAATACTTTAAGGGTAAATAAAACTATAATAAATAAAACAATATGACCTATTCAATTTGAAAAAATTAAAATAATTTAAAATTTTATTAAGATGGGTGTAACCATTCAAAAAAAGAAGAAATAATTGGATGCAGATGATCAACAATTAAAACAATTTTGAGAAACTATTCATTAAATGATCCAATTCAACTCAAAAAATATCCAGATAGTAAAATAATTATTAAAGATTAAATTGAAATGGTTATTAAAAATTTATTATCTAATGAGATATATCATAATAATACAAATTAAACGATATCTTCGGAAGAATTATACAATTTTTTTTATGTTAATACAAATAGATGACATATTTTATGGTACTGATTGATAAGTATGGTCCCAGGCTTGGCGAATATTGCTTTAATTTTTAAGATATTAATGATTTGCAAGATAACTTTCCAATTAATAGTTTGGAAATTTTTCAAATTTTTTACAAAAAAATAGAATTGATGTCATATTGATCCCAAAATACTCTATAGACCTCATAATTATTGAAAATTAATTATGAGTGTTAAAATACGTTTGATTCATAAGATTATAGGGAATTCTCAAAATAAGTTATATAAAAGTTTAAATTAAAAAAATTAAAAAAATTAAAAAAATTAAAAAAATAAAAAAAATAAAGAAAATTTATGATTTGTTTGTGGTAAATATGCATTTATTTATTATTTTCTGTTAGACCGAATTCTGGATCTGATTTGATTTCACGGAAGATATTGAGAACAGTACCTTTGAATTGATCAATATATTTCTTAGTTTCAGGATAAAGATTATATACATTTTTTACATCATTAATATATTTAATAATTATTTTTTTATCATGAACATGAACATCATTATTTCTATCTCTACATAAGGTACTGATTACATCTAATTTTCTTCTTATATCAGAACTAACTTTTACCTCATTGCTTTTGAATGTGTCTATAGTAAAGTTTTTTCCTTGATCTTCATTGATTTCTGGGATTAAATAATATTCTAAATAGAATTTCATTACGGTTATCAATTGGACATCACCACCCAACTCTGCTGCAGTGCTAACTACTTTTAATTCATCACGATTTGTGTCTTTTTCAAGTTTTGTAAGTCTTTGGAATAAATCACCAAAATCATTTTGAAGTACTTTAATTTCTTTATCTTGAGATTCAATCTTTTCACCCTGTTCTTTGATTTTTTTTTTTTGTTTATCAACACGATACTTGAGATTATCATTTTTATTTCTAAGCGATAATATTTGATTTTCTAATTCTAAGATTTCGTTTCTTAAAGTTAAATTTTCGTTTTTTAGTTCCAGGCTCTCATTTTTTAATTCCTCCACTTTGCTTTCTAAAATTTTTATAATTCGATCTCTAGAGATACCCAAAATAACATTACTACCACTATTACTATGTCTTTTGATTCCATCAATTTGTCTTGGGGTTTTATTGATAATTGAAAAGTCTTCTTCACAAGAAAGTATTGGGGATTCTATTTTTGGGTCTTCATCATTATGGTTATTATCACCACTATTATAATTATAATTATTATTATTATTATTATTATTATTATTATTATTATTATTATTATTATCCATTGTAAAACTACAACTATTTTTTATTTAAAAAAAAAAAAAAGAAAGATAAAAAATAAGTGTTAAATAATGTTAAAAAATAAATTATGTAAAAAAATATTTGAGAAAATTTTAAAATTAAAAAAAAAAAAAATTAAAAAATTAATAATTCAAACAAATTTAATTTATTTTAATTTAATTATTAATATTTTTATTAAATTAAATTAAATTTAATTAAATAATTTAAATTGAACAAATAAAATTAATATAAAATAATTTTTTTTAATTTAATTTTTTTTATTAAATTTTGTTTGTCCATGGACTAAAGATAATAAAATTAATTTCCATTTTAATCAAATTGATGTCGAAGATAGTGATAAAGTTCAGAATCTTTTAACATGTTTATACTTCCACAATTTATAGCTTATTTCTTTTAGTTGCTTTTTTTATTTTATTATCTATCTTAAAATTCAAAAAGAGTGATTATTGATTATACTTTTTTCCTATTTCTTTTTACTAAAATTTCTTATATCTTTATTGTAGTTGTTATTTTTTTGATGATGGAGTTATGTTTTAGCGCTAAAGATATGTATCGAAAACTTATAATTTTTTGATCAAAAAATTAAAAAAAAAGAATCAAAAATAAATAAAACAATTTTATTTTAATTATTTTTATTATTATCGAAATTAAAAAAAAAAAATTTTTAATTTAAATAAAAAATGCTAAACATTATTTAATAAAATTACAATTAAAGTAATGTATTATAATTAAAAATACACGATTTATATTAAGGATTTTTTTAGGATCGAGTTTTCTTTAGAAAATTTAGGATCGATCCTGAGCTATACAAAAATCATCATTTTTATTAAAAAAAATTATTTTTTTATTATAAACACCCCAAAATCATCATTTTTATAAAAAAAAAAAAAAATTAATATAAATATAAAATATTAAATATTATTTAATAAAAATACAATTAAAGTATTGTATTAATGGTTTTTATTTATTATATTTAAAAATACACGGTTTATATGAAGGATTTTTTTCGATCCTAAATTTTAGGAAAAAGGATCCGGATTTTCATTAGAAAATATTGGATCAATCCTAGTTTTAAACCTCGATCCGATACTATAAATACATGTACCACCACCACAACAACAAGCAACCTCATCCGTATACCCACCAGAGTCATCCACCCAGAATTCGTTGAAGGACCTTCAATTGAAGAATATAACGAAGAACTTGGTGAGTGGGTAACAATATACACATCACCCTCGTCATCATTTGCACAATCAACACAATCAAATAAGGGAATGGGTGAGGGGCCATCAATTGAGGAATTTGATGAAGAACTTGGTGAATGGGTCACAGTCTATACCTCACCTTCATCATTCGCACAACCCACACCAGAACCAACACCACAACCAAGTACACCCACCACCTCATCAGCCTATCTACATTTCTATGCACCAGAATCCAAGTACTATTTTACAGGTGCATCAACACAATCAAATGAGGGAATGGGTGAGGGCCATCAATTGAAGAATTTGATGAAGAACTTGGTGAGTGGGTCACAATTTACACCTCGCCTGCATCATTCGCACAATCCACCCCACAACCAACACCAGAACCAAGTACACTACCACCGCATCAAATTACCCTAAATTCTATGCACCAGAATCTAAATTAGATATTTCAGGTGCATCAACACAATCCAATGGGGAAAATTTTTAAGAATCTTTTAAAGAATTTGATGAAAAACTTGGAAAATGGGCCCAATACACACCACAATATATTATCATTTAAAAAACCCTTGGTATTTTAAATATTAAAACAAAAATTGTAAAACACTCCATTTCAGATGATGCTTCAAAATAATCTCAATATAATTTAGGTAAAATATCTTTATTGTTTATATTATTTTTAATATTAAACCATTTATTAATATTTATTTTAAACATCTAGATATATTCTAAATCTCACTCTAGACGATATATATTAGCTTAATTGACTTTTAAATATGTCAATAACCACAATCAACAACCCACTTTGTTTTATATTTTTTTTTCGGTTTTTTATAAAGTAAAAAATTGTAAGTGTTTATAATATTTTATATTTAATGTTTTTTATAATTTAGTATTAATATAATTTTTAGTTCTGTAACTGTATCAACTCTATAATATAAAATAGGGTAAAGACTCAAATAGTACTGTATACCAGGGATTGCAATCAAATCGAAACTATTGAAGTTTTCTATTTAGATCTATTCTTCTTCTACCCACGAATATAAACTATTGAATACCAGTAAATACTTTCCTTCAAAATAGAAATTTGGTTTTTATTTTTAAATAAATTATAATAAAATGAAAAAAAAAGATTATAAAAAGAAAATAAAGATATTTTAATTAAATTTGTAAAAAGTTTTCTTTTGATTATGTTTGATTTTAATATCAAAAAAAGGATAATATAAAGTTATATATTTTAGAATAATTGATTTTTTTGAAAAAATGAATCTGACTTTTTATTTTTTATTTATTTAATTTTGATAGCTTCTAGAAACATTAATAATTGTATTATGATGGCTGACTATTTGAAAATTTAAAGATTTATTATTATTTAAAAAATCATATGAGTGAATGAGATTAAATTCATTAATTGAATAGTGGTATGATTTAATTAAATCCAAAGTTAAATTTAAATTTAAATTGATGTCAAATATGTTTGAAATAGAATATAGCTCTATGCTTGAAAAACTTGGCTGTTTTAATATTAATAGTAAATTTAAAAAATCTTCTGAGTTGTAATATACCAAGTGTCTTATGGTTCTATTTATTAATAAAATATTTGCGATTGTATTTGCTCTTGATGCACCTGTTAAAACTAGTTTTGAAACGGTTTTATTTTCTTTGATACCCTCAACTAAATTGATGTCGATTTCGTCATTTATATTTATTATAAATGTTTTAATTCTGTTTAAAGGACTTGAAAGTATTGCTCTACAACCTTTAGTGATATCTGGAACTTCGATCCCATGAAGATTACAAAAGCATAGACCTGACCTGCACCCATGATTATAAACAAATTCACATAATGTTGGTTGGTTTAAAAGACATGATATTATATGATCCCAAAGTTTCTTTTTACTTTCACCTTCAAAATAGGAATTTGAAACTTTTAAGAGTCTTTTAGCTTTTATTGAGAGAACAAAATGATCTAGTTTTGATAGTACCGAAGAGGATGAGTTCGAGATGCATTCTTTTGGAAAAAATATATTGTCAATTGTAATCTTATTGTTTTGGGTCGATTTGAATTCGAACGAAAAAGAAATACCATTTTCACAATAGAAATCTGTGTAAACAATAGACTTTAGGCCAACTCTTTTTAGAAAATTGTATAACGGAACTAAAGAATTGCAATCTGTAGTTTTTAGAACTTTAATTTTCTCTAAATCTTTTTCATAGTTGACAAATTTGAAGTTTTCTGTAAATTCCGATAAAGAGCATAATAGGTCAAATCGAAAATTAGATGGATATATGCTAATTGATCTTAATATATTAATTGAATCTATATTATACCCAGAGCTGATTAAAACTTTATTAAAAACATTTTCCCCAAACCGGCCTGTTTTATAATCCATTATATAATCTTGAACTAAGCTATAGTATATCTTTGAATCTTTTCTTTTAATTAATTTGAAATTACTTTTATTCGCTGCAGTTTCAATTAAACCTTTTAACATTATATAGTTTTTGAAACTTAACTGACTTGATAATATTTTTGATACTAAACTAAAGAAATATTTTGAAACTAATGCATATTGGATTACTTCGTTATTGTTTGTAAAGGGTTTGATTGGAATATAAATAGTAATTTCAAATTTACTATAAATATATTCTATTATTGTTTTTAAAATATATAAAAATATATAGTTACAAAATAACATTTCAACTAATTAATATTTATATTATAATTTAAATTATTTTATTAATATTGAAAAAACAATTAAAAAAAAAAAATTTTTAAAATTATTAAACACATTTTTCCAAAATAAATGTACCTGTGTGATTGATTGGGTTTTTATAATAAATAGTTTTTTTTTTGTTTTTTATTAATGTTTTATTTTTTATTCTATTTCTGATCTTTCTGCGTTTCTTGGTTCACATCTTAAACTAATTTCATAAAGTGGTTTTTCTGCTACTATTTTATAATCTAAAAAGTATTGTTGTATTGCTGGTACTGGGTGGAATTGATATGGGAATAGAGTATAGTTTTGTAATACTGAAATTGTTTTTTTGTATAGTTCTAATTTTTTAAAGTTAATTTTGTTATCATACATTGCTTGATTACCTTCATCGATAAATACCAAATCTGATAAATGGAAACCCATGAAAGGAATTGCTGGTGGTTGAGCATTGGCTAACTCTGCTCTATAGTTTTTCATTGAGGACTGAGTAGACATTAATTCTTCTAACTGATCTAATGTATCTCTTAAACTCTTTGATAATTTACTCTTTGTGAATTTTAGACGGAGGATTGGTGATGAATTTAAACCTGAAATAATTGCCATCAAGAGATGATAGTTTTGCAATTCATAAAAAGCATTCGCTATCTTTACCATTTTGCCATAAACAAATGCTCTATCTCTTAGTTTTGGTTGATTTAAAATTGTGAATGATACAAAATTGGAAACTCTATTGAATAGACCAACTACAGACATAACACCCGGACCTCCATTTGGCTTAGCCCAACGTTGATTTAAAAGTTCTGATGTTTCTATTTTAGAGTATAATGGGAAAGTTAAAAGTGAAAGTTGTCTTGCAATCTCCATTTCGTCCATATCAATAAACGAAATAATATTTGAATCGATCTTTGGTATCTTTGGCTTTGGAAGATCACCAGTTGGTATTTGAATAATAGATGGGTAGATTTTAGTGGTTAAATCCATATAAAGTTCAGTAAGCTCTTTGTGACCATCATCTTCAATTGATTCTGTTGGCATGTGTAGTCTAAGTAAACCTATAACCTCTTCTCTATTCTTTGGTGTTTCAATTTCTAACCATGATTTAATTAAAAGTCTAGTCTTTCTTTGAATAAGTTTACATTTTTCTTTATCTAAAAGTGATGGAGCTGTGTGTCTTTCTAATAACTTGCTTAAAAGTGTAGTTGGGGTGGTAACTGATCTATATGTACTAAGGAAAATTGATTTAATATCAGATTCTTGTGATTCTGGATTTGTTAATCTTTCAATAAGTTTATTCAATGTAATTGAAGCAATCTTTGATTCTTTTGTAAAAGTGATATTATCTGGTGAATCTTCAGGTTCGTCCCAAACGTTGGAGTCGGTTGGTAAATCTTTTTGCTTTGATGTTAAAATTAAATAGTCACCATTGTTAATTGATTGATCTCTTAAACAATTTTGTCTTGATAATAATTTGATCTTTTGGCTTGATGAGTCTGATAAATAAAGTGAGTAGTTTAAAGCATTTAGTTGGTGTGGTGTGCAGATCTTTTCAATAACTTCTGAAATTGTAAAAGTATTTAAAAATTGTTGATTTTCATTATTTGGAATTGCTATACCACTTTCAATATTAATATTTACAGAGACTGTTCTTGGTTTAAATTTAAATTGTACAATTGACTAAAATAATAGAAATTAATTATTAAATACTATAATTATTAAATATTTATAAATAAAATAAAAAAAATTTGGTAACTTACACATTTCATATCGCTGTGATCTAATAAAGTTTTTGATGGGTCTAACCAAGATTCTTCAACTAGGGTTTGTGATAAATTTGATTGTGATGTATTTGGAATATAGCAGATTCCATAATCTTCAATGTTGATTTTCAAATGAATTTCATTTTTAATTTCATTCATAATAGCTGAAACTGGGATATATGGATTAAACTTCATTAGTTTTTCTGTACCACTAAATGAGATTCTTAATGGTCTTTCCATGAGTTTAATTTCAACAACCATTGGTTCATTATTTGGGTTAAAATCTAATAGTCTATTATTTAGTGGATACCAACTTCCTTTGCTATATTCTTCTAAATTTGCAAAACAATAAATACCATAAATATCGGACTCGTAGTCTTCTTCCTCATCATCGATAAGAGATGATGTTTTTCTTTGGAATGCTGCTGAATTTGAATCCAATCTAGTTCTAAGATGATGAACGATTTCAAAACATTTCAACTGTGGGTCGATTGTAAAGCTTTTAATTTCGTTTGTAATGTTGTTTTGTAAAATGTTGATATTGATTGGCTTCATCTTAAACTCTACAATTTCATTACTGAGACCATTTTCAACTAGAGTTTTGGTGGGATCTACCCAACGAGATTGTGTACCTGAATTTTGTAAAATAGTATCTGCTGAACCTATAGCTGGAACAAATAAACCATATCTTTCAATATCGTATTTTATTTGATAATTGGATTGAATAAATTGAATAACATCTGCATATGAGGTCTTTTCATTAAGATCGATTTTTAAATCACCATAACCTGCGGAAACCATTACTACTCTAACGAAATCAGTTGTTTCTTTTGATTGTTTTGAAAGGTCACTATCTTCATTGCTCATTCTCTTTAAAACTTCTTTTCTACCAATTTTCTTTACCAATTCACTCTCATCACTATCTAAAACCTCTTCAAATAAATCTAACTCGAAACGAAGTACATCATGTTTGTTGCTGTTTAATCTAAGATTTGAAATGACTTCTAAAATACCAACTTTTAATAATGAACAAATAACTGAAAATCTTTCTTCTAATACTGAAAATGAATAAATTAGGAAATTAATAATTTTGAAAATAGTTGTTTTAGTTGATAAGTCAATTGTTGAACTCTTTAAAATTGCTACTAATGGTACATATGGTGAGCTTAATCCTTTAACTTTTTGGAAATTAACCAATGAATCTAATACAATACTATTTTTTTTAAAAAATGAATGAAATTAATATTTAATTTAAACTATAGTAATTTAAATTAAAAAAACTTACCTTGTGCCAATTGTTGGCAATCTTAAAATTTCGTCAAAAATGTCAATAATTATATCTATAATATATTTACTATTTGAACTTAAAAACATTGAAATCATATTGATAGAGTTGTGAGTTGTAATTACAGATTTTGCTGTATATTCGATTAAAATCTTCATACACAATAAACAATAGCCAACCTTTTCTTCATCAAATTGTTCATTTGCATGATCCAAATTGTATTGAAGAATACTGACGAATAGTTCAATACCATGGAAACCAATAAATAATGATACCTCTGGACCACCTTCTTTTAAGAAATCGTGAATCTCTTTAACTAATGAGATATCAGTTTTAATTGATAAGTTATCAATATAGAATCTAGCTGGTTGAAAATGTGGACTCTTTGCAACAGCACCTGCGACAGAGGATGATGATGATAATGGTGGAGGGATACTACCATTTGCACTTACATTAATTGGAGTTGATGAACCACTGCTTGTTTTTAAAGGACCATTCACTAAATTTAACATTTTTAATGTTGAATTTCTATATTGTAATAAAAGGTTCCATTTTTGCTCCTTAGAGAGTTTTTGAAGGGTCTCCCTCTTCTTTTTAGAGAAATCTTGTTCTTCCAAAAGCTGGTCAAATGAATTTTTAAATTTGGAGAATGATGGTACACTTGTAGTTATAGAATCACTTGAATTGATTGGTGATGGATTGGTTGAGCTTGGTGCTGAATTACTATTATTATTGATAGTACTATTACTTGAACTATTCATGCTATTAGTGCCATTGTTATTAGATGATGGTGTGTTATTACCAGATAAATTAAATTGTGACATTGAATGACTTAATAGTTGTGGTGATGAAATAGAAGGAGAATTTGAAATTGATGATGATGTTCTTAAAAGACCTAAAGCTGGTGAATTAGTACCGCTGCTAGTAGTAAGACCATTTCCTAAATCTTGTTGTTGTTGTTGTTGTTGTTGAATTAAATTACCCAATGATGCAGGTAATGTATTATAGCTAGAACTAACTACAGGTGGACTTAATTTAAATGCATTTGTTGGTGGCAAAAATACACTACCTCTTCTTTGCTTAGCACCAGCACCCTCTAAACTTGCAAATTCACCTAATGACATTTTTTGAATATCATCTTCAAAATCCAAAACAGTACTATTTACAGTTATTTGGCTGGTTATTGGACTTGAAGAATTACATGAGGTGGATGCAGCAGAAATATTCTGGAGATGCTTTTGTTTATGAAAATCATCCTTTTCGCTTTCTAAATTTGATGAGTTACCTCTAAAGAGTGATCTGGAAATGGTAAGTTGGTTATTTTTCTTTTTAGAGAATTTATTGATGGCTGCACTAATTGAGGTGCTTCCACTTAAATCTGGTGTCATTGAGCTCTTACTAAGAGATCCATTAGAAGAAATAGAACTGTGGCCAGTTGAGCCATTTATAGTACCAAAATTTGATTTATGCTTTATAAGTGATAATGAACCTTCTTGTTTGATTAATTTTAAGTCAGTACTTGATAAAGGGTTTTCATCCAATGATAATCTTAAAAGCTGTGTTAATAAATGAATCTCCTCTGGAACGCTCTTAAATTCGTTATTGTGAAGAATTAAAATATTTAATTTTTGAAGTTTTACAAAGTCTGTTGGTAAAGTTGAAATTTTGTTGTATTCTAAATATAGTTTTTTAAGATTTACGATTTGACCAATAGTTGATGGCAATGTTGTAATTTTATTTTCAGCTAAAAAGAGTTCGGTTAAATTATTTAATTGACCAATTTTCTCTGGGACAACCTCAATATCATTATCTTGAAGTTTTAAGATTTTTAATGATGTTAAATCTAAAATATCGATTGGAAACTCTCCAAACTTATTGTGTTGCAACTCTAATCTTTCCAAGGTGGGCAATAAACTAACACCCAGAGTATGATGTGATGAATTTATAGAGATTTGATTACAGGCTAAATTTAGACGATGTAAGTAATTTAATGTACAGATGCTTGCAGGAAAAGATGTAAAACGATTTGATTTTAAATTTAAACATGTGAGTGAAGATAATTTTGTAAATGATGCTGGAATAGATGATAAAGAGTTACCTGAGAGATCCAATACTTTTAAACTTGTTAAATCTGTGATGATAGAGGGGAAAACAGTAAAACTATTATTTGATAATTTTAACTCTTCTAATTTACATGCTATATAAGGTTGATTGGTACCATTATTTACAGAGGAGCCACCACACATTTGAACATTGATGTCAGTCAATTGATTATTATCTAATATTAATGTCTTTAGATTTGGTAATACGAAAACACATGATGGAAAATCAGTAAAGTGATTACCTGAGAGATCCAATTTAACTAAACTTTCGTTTACTACTGATGAAATTGATATCATAGTTGATAGTCTATTAGCCTGTTGTATGATTGGTGGGGGTAGAGACCAAGGTAATGAATTTAATTTATTATCAGTTAATGACAACTCCAAAAGATATGATAACTTGGTTATATTTGCTGGTACTTCTTTTAATTTACACTCTTTTATTGTTAAGTTCTGTGTTAACGGATAACCCTCTACTAATTGATCCATATAACTCACCAATTCCTTGGTTTTTAATTTACAGTTATCTAAACAACATGATATTGAATCTATTCTATATTTTCCATTATTAAAATTTATTGAGTTAACATTCCCCATTATTATTTTCTAAAGTTCTAAAATTATTTTTTTTATAAAATAAAAAACTTTATTAATATTTATTTAAAAAGCTTATGATTAAATAAAAATATTATATATTTATAAATTAATTAATTTAATAATAGAGAGTGTGTTTTTTTTGTAGGTTAATTAATATTTATGATTTAAAAAATAATAACACACAAACAAAATAAAAAAATAAATAAAAAATAAAATAATAAATTATCTTTAAAAAAAAAATTTACTTTTTGTTATGATTGTTTATAAAAAAATTAAATAAATTTTTATATGATATAATATAATTAAATATTATACTACTTTTTAATTTTTATTTTTTTTTTATTTAAATTATATATCTAAATAGTTTTGATTACAATAAAATAAAATTAAAAATAAAACAAAATTAAAAATATAACAAAATTAAAAATAATATGAGTTACAGTTGGTGGAGGTTATCTTGATGTAAAAAAAAAAAATAATAAAATAAAAAGCAAAATGAAAAAACCAAAAAAACCCAAAAAAAAAAAAAAAAAAAAAAAAAAAAAAAAAAAAAGAAAACAATAAAAATATTTGTTAACAAAACCAAATCGTTTAATGTTATTTTAGGGTACTATTGTAGCACATAAATACACACATAAATATGGGAAACTGAGATATATTGTAGATAAATAGATAAGGAGTGGGTGAGAGGTGTGTGAGAGAAATAAAAAAATTTTATGTCTTTTTTTCTAATGTGAATGAATATAAAATCTTTATTGTAATAATATTTATTATTTCTTTTTTTTACATACCTGCAATACTTTTTTGAAAGATATAGAAATCAATATTAAAGATTGTCACTAATAATAATTATCTTATATATTAATAGCGATAAAAAAAAAAAACAATAAACAACTACTATTACTATTACTGCTACTACTACAACTATTAATAGTTTTACACAATAGATTTTTTAGAAACTATATTTGATATTAAGATTATTGTTATTGCTATTATTGTTTAATTTTATTGTTATTGCTAGTATAGCAATATATTTTTTTATTTTTAAATTTTTTTTTCAAAAAAAAAAAATTATTTATTTAATTTTAATTTTTTTTTATTTTTCCAAAATTTTTATACAGATTTTTTATTACGTTTTTTTCCACAGGGTAGAAACTATTTTTACTCTAAATTTCGCCAAAAATGATATATTATTAATTAATAAGATTATTTTTCCATAAACATCAGAATATTTGCTGATCCAGATTCGTTTTTACTTTATTTTTTTTAAAAAATTATTTATTTTTGTGTTAATATATAACCTATTTTATTAAATTATTTATTAATATATTTGAAACAATTATTAATTATATTTAAAAATATCAAACTCCATTATTATAATTTAACAAATTAATTAAAAAAAAAAAATTTATTTGAAAAAAAAAAGGTATTAATTAATTTATTTGAAAAAAAAAAAAGAAAAAGGAAATGATCATTTTTGAAAATTATGTTGTGTAAGTGAGTATGTGGATGTTAATTATTTTTACAAATTTTTTTTTTTTTATTTCTTTGATTGTTTTATAGTTTTTTTTTGAGCCCAATTTAGTTCGAAACAATTAAACCACGATCTGGTTTATAAACAGTTGTACGTGGAACCATGGTAATACAATCTGGTACTGGACAAACAGAAAGACATAAATCACAACCAGTGCAAAGATCGGTGACGAGTGGAATGTGAGTTTTACCGTCAAATTGAATAGCTTGATAACCTGAATCATTACAAGTCATATAACATTTACCACAATTAATACATTTATCTTCATCAACAATAGCTACAACTTGTTGATCACGTCTGAGGTCATCGTGACGACCTATTCTTGGGATAGCACGATTGATTTGATCTTTAATAGTTGGGACTGGAAGGGTTGGGTTTGGTGATGGTGTTAATGGATTGGTTACTTGTAAGAGATCCTTTGTTTGTTTTTCTTCAGTATCAATTCTATTACGTTCTAAAAGGTATTTACCGAATTTTGGAAGTCCTTGAAGTTTTGGATTTCTATTGATAACTTCGTTTGGTGGTGATTGACCGTCCCATTTGAGGAGATCTTCACGTGATTGCATGTAGAGGTAAGTCTTGAGACCAGTAATATAATCACCAACGACGGTGAAATCTTGATTTTGAACTGATGAACAAATTTGGACTACAGAGGCACCACAATGAAGGAATTGAATAGTGGCATCAGCAGAGTCACAACCACCAGTGGCCATGATTGGATAGTCTGGAAGAGTTTTTCTAATGGATGAAACAGCACGAAGAGCCATTGGACGTGTGGCATTACCCGATACACCACCATATGTTGTACGTTTTTCATCACCAATAGCTGGCCATGCGTTAGAATCACCTTTGAGACCCATTAAACCTGAAACAGTATTGATAGCAGTAACACCATCAGCACCACCATCATGAGCAGCTTTGGCAATATCTTTAATTTCGGTGACATTTGGTGTTAATTTGGCAAAGAATGGAATTTTAACAGCAGCTCTAACCCATTGGCAAATGTGGAAAACTAACTCGGTATCTTGACCACAAGCTAAACCCATACCCTTTTCACCCATACCATGTGGACATGAAAGATTTAATTCTAAACCATCAGCACCGCTAGCTTCAGCTTTTTTAGCTAATTCAGTCCAATCTTCCTTATTGAAACCACACATAATTGAGGCAATAACGATGTGTTTTGGGAAGTCACGTTTTAATTCAGTAACTGCTTTACACCAATAGGCGCATGTCTTTTCAGAAATTAATTCGATGTTTAAGAAAGCACCTTGACCTGGACCGAAATGGTGACCACTGGTAGTACCTCTAACAATTCTTGGTGAGCAATTAGTAACAAGATCTTTATCTAAAGAGAAAGTTTTAGTGACAGCAAAACCCCAACCTTGTTCGAATGATCTACGAATCATAGCAGCAGAGGTAGCTGGTGTAGCTGATGCAAGACCAAATGGATTTGGGAAAGTCATACCACACATTTCGACACTGATATCTACTAAATCGATTGGAGTGAAAAAGTTTGGTAATTGTGGAGTGTCTGAAAGAATTGGAATACCATGAAGGGCTTGAAGATATTTGTGAATGTTCCATGAGGCGGTTTTACCATCATTAACAGCTTCGACTGTGGTACCATTACCAACTAAATCACCACCACAGAATACCCATTCAGCAGTTTTGGATTGCATAGTTAATGGATCAATATCGGCAGTGCCCCATTTATTAAATGTTAATGGCTTACATGAATCAGCAACTGAACCAATTTGACTACCAAAAGCTGAGATAATGTAGTCACATTTAACTCTAAAGAATTGGTCTTCATCAACAGCATAGTTTCCATCGTCACCTTTTTCGGTTTTATAGAATTCCATTGCAACAACTTTACCATCACGTTTAATTACTTGTTTTGGAAGGACATATGGAAGGAATTCACAACGTTCATCTTTGGCAATATCAACTTCTTCTGGAACGGCTCTCATATCAGAGAAACCTCTACGGAAACAAACAGTGACACGTTTAGCACCACAACGGAAAGCAGATGTAGCACAATCGAAAGCAGTATCACCAGCACCTAAAACAATAACTCTACCATTTAATTCTGGTAATTTTGATTTACAACCACACATACCGGCCTTTGAAGCTTTTGAAACAAGTGGAAGGAATTCTTTTGAGGTGTAAAAACCTTCTGGGGTTGTTAAACCATTGAAAACTGGATCAATTTTTGGCTCTGGCATACCAATACCTAAATAGACAACTTCATAACCTTGTTGGTGTAATGATTCAACAGTGAAACCATTTTCACCTAAACGCTTGCCATATTCAACCTTGACACCTAAATCCTTCATTAATTTAATTTCAAATTCTACAACTTCGTAATTGAGACGATAATTTGGGATTTCAGCGCTACTTAAACCACCTAAATATTGTTCTTTTTCAAAGATTGTAACGTCACTATAACCTAAACGAGCTAAAAAGGTACCACAACTGATAGATGTTGGACCACAACCAATTAATGCAATTTTGGCTTTATAAGATTCTGGTAATTGGTCAATTGGGGTTAATGATGGATCACGGATTTGTGGAATATTCATCTTTTTGAAAACATCAGTTGCAAATTGTTGAAGACCACCAATATTAATTGGACCTTCTTCGGTGGCTGCTAAATTACATCCATATTGACATAATGTACTAACTGGACAAACCATACCGCAAGTTAAACCTAATGGATTATCTGAAAAAATTGTTTTGGCTGCACCATAAT